CTACTACTACTACTACTCCTACTCCTGCTGCTACTACTACTACTACTACTCCTACTCCTGCTGCTACTACTCCTACTACTCCTACCACTACTACCACTACTACTACTACCACCACCACCACCACTACGACGACGATTACTACTACCACCACGACGACGACTACTACTCCTACTACTACTACTACTACTCCTCCTCCTACTACTGCTACTACTACTCCTACTACTACTACTACTACTACTCCTACTCCTACTACTCCTACTCCTACTACTCCTCCTCCTCCTCCTCCTGCTCCTCCTGCTCCTCCTGCTCCTCCTGCTCCTCCTGCTGCTGCTGCTGCAACGTCTACTGCTACGACTGCGACTACGACTACTACTCCTCCTCCTGCTGCTGGTGCTACTGCAACTACAACTACAACTGTTAATCTATGTATATATATACAACTACAACCACAACTAAGACTGCTGCTGCCGCCACCACCACCACCACCACGTTGTCCATGTTCTTTGTTTGATCTCAAGTGGATGCTTGGGCTCTTCTATCTACTATGTGCGTGAGTGCCCGTGGCTGTACAGCTTGCCACCTGAACATGTTTGAGACGTTTTGGGGCCACACTGCCCACGTACGCGGGCTGACCACGTTGGGATCATGTTTGCACACGGCCGAACACCGGCTGTGGTTCAGTGGTTCAATGAGGCCCGGATTGTAGCCCAGGCCTGCAGCGACGCACGTTAATTACTAAGGTCCGGTACATTCAAAGGCCTGGAAGGTGAAAACAGTATCACTAGAACCTCTACCGCGCCCAGCCGCCCCTTTTTCAATTGCAGTTGGTAAATGAGAGATATCATCGAAGGTGATGAGCACCCCCAGAGGCAAGTGGGCGCTGCATCGGTGAGTCAAGCAAGACTGCTGGGGCTTGGCTTGCATTCGGCAACTCGCCGGATCGGGTCCGGCTTCGCCGGAGATGCCTCAGGCAACCCTTCGGAGGTCCTGACCTGAAGCTTCTTATCTATCAGCCTAGGAAAACAGGAATGGCCCCTGTTCACGTTCCGTGGTTCTGATTGCTGAAATTTTCGATGATGGTGTTAAGTATCGTCGGCTGTTAGAGCTTGGAGGTGATTAACACCTTAAAAGCAAGGTACAGTAGCGCGGCAGCGCCAGCTCCAAGTAAGGTGGGCTGCCAGGCGAATGCGCAAAGGCATCCAAAGTGCGAAGAGTAAAGGTAGCGCCAAGCTCTGAGTTAAAAAAGCGAGGCTGCTGGGGTTGCATTGGGCGCAACTTTAAACTAGTTTTAAACATCACTTAAGCCTGGCATCAAGCTTGTAGAATCAAGCTCTGGCTTGCCGACAGGCAGTGGCTTCTGTTTGCACAAGGGACATGTGATCTTCTTGGTCAGGAGCCACTTTGTCACGCATCGTTTGTGAAAGTGGTGACCACAACTTAGCTTCACCACTTTGGAGTTTTCATCCATCTCGTCCAAGCAAATGGAGCACTGGCCCAATTGACCTACGCATTGGCAATCTGTCATCTTGACATCTTCGAGAAGTGGAGCCACTGCATTCTTGGTGAAGATCACCTGTGGGTCAAAACCAGGATAGCTTGGTTGACTTATATTATATATATAAATCTGTATGTACCTGGAAGGTCCTTCGCTACAGGGTCATGGAACCTCCAGGTTTGGACCCCTCCCCACCTCTCTCTCCCTGCGAATCACCGCCCAATAGCTCGCTCTCTGCGAGGGCGTCAACAGCGAAGAGAGGCTCATCCTCAGGTCGCGGCGAGGAGTGGCACCGAAGGATGGCACACAGCGACCAGTACGTCAACGATCACGTGGCCCTGGGGAAAACCACCCGAAGGACTGTCATGTAGAATGATGATCAACATCAATAATCAAGAGTCTGCATTACAGGAACATGACATGTTGATCCCATGTCGTAGCCTCCGCCTCATTCATCCTCATGCCCCATGTGCCAAAAACACATCCTTCATGCAGGCTTCAAGCTACCAACCTACAAAGAAATGAAGCAAAGGGGTACCTGTTCATTTGATCGAAGCCATCTCTGCCTGAGGCCGAGCGAGAGAGAGAGAGAGAGAGGAGAGAGCGAGAGAGAGGGGAGCGAGAGCGAGAGAGAGAGAGAGAGAGAGAGCGCGAGAGAGAGAGCGGAAGAATTTTCACGAGGTAACTGCAAGGCCTCAAAGCACATCGCATCCAAGAGAAATAGAAGAGTCACAAGTCATCAGCAACATGCCGTTCACAAGGAGGAACCAATGTCCTCACAGTCTTTCAGACTCACCGAAAATCGCCTTCGATCCGACCGGGATCAAACTCGCAAAACCCACAGGGTCGTTCACGGTGAGCACGGTGCGCACCGGTCGCCGAGGATCTCCACAAAGGTGGCCGAGCGCAACTGCTTCCAAATCTCCTCCTTCTCCTCGTGGCCGTTGACCGTCACAATGGCCTGGAGAGGCCATTGAACTCAGCGGGCGTCCTATGGATCTTGGCCCGAAGATAACGTGAGATACACGGCCTGCATTTAGGGTTTACACTTTCTTGCCCTCCACTCCGTGCCGAGTAAAAGAGTCGTATTACGGCGTGCTTACGCCAGTGCAGTCTGTAACCAAGGCATGACAACTCCGTGCTGCTTCCACATAACGGGCTGCCGCTGTTTCGCAGTCTGCTGTCGTTGGACCTTTGGAATCCGGAGTCCGGAACGATGCCACGACAGGATCAGTCGAACCTCACATTGGGTAAACAGGACATGTGAACATTGGGTAGGTCCTGCTATCGCTACCCCGCTCCAAATGGAGGATGATCATTTGTAATGGCCCAATGGCCTATCAATGGCCTAATTAGTGAATATACAATAATATACAGTACATGCACGGATGCACGCACACATACTAATACTAATACTTATAATTGGATAGGGAGAGAGAGAGAGAGAGAGTGAGTGAGCGAGTGAGTGCTTCAAAACCGTTTCCTGATTTGCTCTTGGTGGGTCAGATTTTGGCCGACCAACCCCACACCCGCCGGCGGCGCCTGTGCTGGTAGGATCCGACGCTCGAGTCCGGGGTGTTCCCGGTGCCATTTCGCCAGGGACGGTGAATCCTGCGGGGGGTTGCCACAAGAGGACGCGTGAGGATTTAAACGTGGAAAAGACATGAAAAGACCAGGTCAGACCAGGTCAGTGGCACTTCCGACTCAGGACAAGTGGAGAAGGTCGGGCAAAGGCAAGTCCATTCAATGGTGATGCGGGAGGCCACATGAGAGTGTCCAGTTCATGAGCTGAGACCAGACCAAGTCTTTACTGTGATATTACCAAAAAAACAAGATGGAGCCCACGAACCCAAATGCAAACACGCTCGAAAAACTACATATGTCCAAATAACACTCTTGTAGGACACTCTTGTGGGACACTCTTCTGGGACACTCTTGTAGGACACTCTTGTGGATCTCTCTTACGGGGCGCTCTTGTAGGACACTCTTGTGGGACACTCTTATAGGACACTCTTGTGGGTCACTCTTCTGGGACACTCTTGTGAGACACTCTTGTAGGACACTCTTGTGGGTCATTTGGGACACTCTTGTAGGACACTCTTGTGGGACACTCTTATGGGACACTCTTGTGGGACACTCTTGTAGGACACTCTTGTGGGACACTCTTATGGGACACTCTTGTGGGACACTCTTGTAGGACACTCTTGTGGGACACTCTGGTAGGAAACTCTTGTGGGCCACTCTTGTGGGACACTCTTGTAGGACACTCTTGTGGGACACTCTTGTGGGACACTCTTGTGGGACACTCTTGTGGGACACTC